ATGATGAGAACTGTGGGAGAAACATTGTAAAATGCAAATAACCAGGACAGGAATAGCTCTCAATTTACTGGGCCCACTGAGTTTTGGCAAACCAAGTTTCCTGCATAGGTTGTGGTTACCTGCCATCATCTTCGACCTATGGCAACTCCATGGATGCTCTCAAATGCTCCTTTCATCAGGGGAATTCAAAAACTGTAAAAGTAAACTCTATCATGACAGAATACAATTTTTATGCTTCCATTTTCTTCGTCTATGCCATAGGTGTTATTCAGCAAATTGTACAGCAGTTAATGCTCTATTTTAAACAAAGCTCAGGGAACCAAGATTCATGGTGGATGCCAGGAAGTACTTCCAGTTAGGGACCGGAGGGCATGGAATGGGCTTCCACAGGAGGTGGTTGAGGCCCCATCGGTGAGGGTGTTCAAGGACAGGCTGGACATGCACATGGCGGGCATGTCATGAGCGGAGCCAGGGGTCAGACTAGATGGCATGGGAGACCCCTTCTGACTCGCGCTGTTTCAATGTGTCTATGATTAATGCAATTGGTTTCATAATAGATTTTGCGTTGCCCCCCCACATCCCCCAATTCAATTAACCACTTTGTGATTTTTTCAGCTTCTAAAAATGTTTGGGGTATTAGACCTAATATGAGTTTATCATCCAAATTTCATCAAAATTGGTTAGACAGTGTGCCTACAAAGTAAAACTGATGATACTAAAGCATTGCAGTTAGCTATCTCTGCTACCTCTCTTGGTTTTGCGATCAAAGCAAAAGCGTAATCACTTAAGTACAGGGAGCTTAGGAAGCAGTGGGACAAGAAGGTATTAAAAAAAACTCAAGCTAGCAAATTCCCCACAAATAGGCTCAGAACACCCATGTGTACATAGGATTTCAGACTCCCGTTTATTACTTGGGCGTAATCTCACTGTACACAGCAGGGCTTACTTTTGAGTAAAGATGCACAAGGCTCCACCATATGACTACCATCATTATGGGATTTATATCTAATAAAAGTCCTTTGAGGTCAAGTATTTACTTATAGCAGCAACATAGGCGAGACAGGGTAAGTAGGAATTGCAGAATGGAAGAAACAGATAATTTAACAACAAAAACTCATTTAATCCGATATACCACATTCATGGACAAAGATAAGTGATATGAAAACAGCCCACTTCATTTGTTACATACAAGGTTAAGAAGCTTTATCTTGGCTCTGGAGGATTTACCCTGACTGATCCAGGAAGGATGGCTCCTAAGGAAAAATATTTTAAATAGTTGACATGTAACAGCTTTCTGAAATTAATTTCCCTTTTTCGTATTAGAGTATCTTCAACTGAAAATCTTTGCAAATACACGTGTCCCTGTCATGCATGTTAAATGTGAAAAAACAAGATCTGGCAGAAAACCTTACTGCTGAGATATTGTAATGATTAAGATCAGCTCATGTCATGAATTTGCTCAAGGTTAGTATCCCATAAATTCAACAGGCCTTTTTTTTTTACATAAAAGTTGGGAAGATTACAGAGAGCCTCAGCAGCTGATGCTTTTTGCGCAGTTCAGAAAAGCACAATATAAACATTATTTTATTATTATTTTAATTCAAGATCATGTGCTGCACAGATGAAGAGAGACCCTTATTTCCGAATGAAGGGGCCTCGTTTCATCTGGTCCAGTAACTAGTGCCAGTCAGTTTTGTTGGATGATACCCAGGTCTGTGTATGAGTAAGATACTTGAAGGGGAGGTTGCAAGTCCTTGACAGATGAAGACTGTTGGTTTTTCAGGGTGATACACAACACTAACTGTTCCCTTGGAAGCTTGTGCAAATGATTTACCCTGTATGTTTGAAAAATTAAAATCTTAGCACTGACATTTTTCAATTAAACACATTGATATCACAATAACACTTAACTAGGCTGCAGAAAGGAACTTGCTTGTACCGATTTATTTTTCTGCACATACTAAATAGTAAAAGGTAATTAATGACTTAATTGTGCTAAAAATACCGCTCATTGTTGACCTATACTTTTAGGAATTTAATTGCTGCAAAACCTGTAGAATCAACTCATGGTGGCTGTAACATAATTTTTTGTATTCACTGGAAAGATTTTTGAATGATTTCCAAACTCCCTGTGAATACTGGAGACATGTAAAAATGTTCTTCGACAGTAGTTCTCAACCTTTTTTTCACTTGCGTACCCCTTGGCAGCCTATTTCTATAAACTGTACCCTTCATATTAGCAAAATGTTTGTAATTAATATACATCAGTACTGGCATGACAGCAGTCAAATGTCCGTGAAGTGGAGAAGAGTGAAAGTTGAGCTTGTGAGGGGCACTTGGCCAAGCATACGCACTGTAGTGGCCTGTTTGTACCACAGTGTTTAGGGAGAGACTCCCTACCATTTGCCAAAATGACAAAGCGAGGGGTTAGGACTTTTCTTGAGGTTAAATAATGAAGAAAACCCACTCCACCACACATCACAACATTCAATTAATTTCACAACTTCTGGCTTGTATCTTGTCTTACACTGTTGATGTATGTACCTATTCCATCTTTTTCATGTACCCCTAAATGTCTTGGTTCGTACCTCAGGTTGGGAATCATTGTCTAGGGCATTGCCATCAGTGGAAATTAATGGGCTGTTGTTGCTTTTAAGTTTTTTTCTTTTTTAAAAGTTTTAGTTCGGCTTTGAGCAAGCTGATTAGTTACCTTTTGGGTGAAATATTTTCCTCCACATGCATACATAAAAATATAATTCACATGCTCAAAAGGGACGATGGAGACCAGATATTTCTAATTTCCTCATAGATTCAATATTATGTGTTTGTTAGCCTGATAAATGCTCCCTACCTCTACTTACACCCAGGGACTTGCAACTAAGAAAAAATTAGCAAAAGGTCTGAATATGTAGTCCTTGGAGGAAAATGAGAAGCGTAAGGGGCAAGAAAACTTCCTTGTATGTCAGAGATACTGTGCCCAGTAAGAAGTCAGTTTGCAGAAGGCTAAGTCTGTACCGAGTGATTCTGATAAATTAAATGGGGTTGCTGTAGCTAACACAAGCTTCTATGGCCTGCCATACAAGCAAACACAAGAGGGGCCAATCCACAGCCCCAACACTGTTGTAGACCCACAGGGGCCAACGGGACCGCTTCTGTATAAACTCCCATTCCCACACAAGCATATTAAAACACGGCTTCCCACACTCTTGGAAGACAACGGCAAATCATTCTTAAGCCAGTCTTTTAGAAACACACGGTAACCTTGAAGCTTCCATCCTAAATCGAGTCCACTTTTACAAACCCATTCCTGATTTCCTCAAAAAGAAAATAGAGGGTTAATATATCATGAGTGGGGGTGAGTGGGGAGTTCTTAGGCCATCCAGATGGTTGTGCAGTGCTTGCAGTTAAGAGAAGTCTGCATAGTTCAGTCATCACTAAACTTGTTTCTGAAAAGTCGTATTCTTGGGAAAATGAAGTCAAGATGTCCGGATGAGCGGAGCCCTCTCGTCTTCAGAACTCTGTAAGTAAAATGAAAGGTGTAAGCAAACAGGCGGTGCTTGAACATTCACAAGACGGGGAGGACGGACAAAAAACAACTTCTCTTTCTGGAGAATAATCCCTGATCCCTGTGTGCTGCCTTCCATGAACATCATAAATGTAAATCGGTTTTATACTTGTCTAAGTGCTATGGCTGCCCCCAAAGAATCCTGGGATTTGTTCTTAGTGCGAGAGTCAACTGTTAGAGATCTCCAGACCTCACTCACAGAACAGTCTCCTGAGGGAAGACAAAGTTTTTGGATCTTCCCATCAGGCTTGGTGCTGAACGGATCCTTTTCTGAAATGATCCTATCAGAACTTATGTTTGGTGGTATCTTATTGGGGAGTTTTAATTCCAGCAAAATCCTGGATCATTGTTATGTCCTCCTCAGAAACTTGGGCCTTGTGCGTTTTGCTTGATGTTGGCCTACATATGAAGACAAGTCATTTGGCCTGTATCATTCCAAACTGCAGATGCAGAAGGAGCATAAGCCTGGACATCTCACTATTTCAATACATCCCTGCTTGCAGAAGATGAGTACAACAGGAAGAGACATTTAGCTTAGCCAACTCCATGCTGTGTTAGGTTTCTAAGGGCAGAGAGTTTTCTTTTTATCTAATTCTCAATTCTGCCATCTGATAGTAAGCCAAGATCACATCTTCAGTAGGATTCTTGGCTCTACCTCAGTGCCCAAGCCTTGGACAAGTTATGGTGCTTTTATGAACCTCAACTCCCAGTGACTGGTCCAGACAACACAATCATGCACACTCGGGGTCGATGCTCATCCTGGTTGTTCTCTTGTCTGGGTTCAGACAATATGACATCCATGTTTCAGCAACAACCCAAGGCTCAAAGACAACCACATTCAACCCATACTCAACCCGAATGTGAATTATTGCCATAGCAGCCGACGTCTTGCTTAGGTGGTGATGAACAAACTTTAATAAATGTAACACACTTTGCTTTGTATTTGTGCTACATAAATACAAAGAACTGGCAGGAAGACAACAAGAAGAACCACAAGTACAGCCATCAGTCCCTGCAGACAGCTAGGCAACCCTCAAACACAATACTGAAAAATCCCCTCCAAGAGGAACCAAGTAAGACAGACAGACCAGCAACTGTTTCAGGGGTGTTCCAGCAAGCAATGGAACACGGCTGTTCCCTTTCCCTTACTTGTTTTTGGGGGAAAAAACTCCCACCATGACCAGTACATCAAGCACAAGCTGCAGGGCACACACCAGCACAAACCCAGGTAGCTCTTGCACCTGCAAGAACCTGTTTTGAAAGCAAAAGCAAGCAACAGCAGCAAAAGGCAGAGGGAATAAAAGACTTTTAGAGAACTCCATGCTCCTCTTAAGGTTGCCTTCCCCAACAACTGGGACCTTCCAGATGCATTGGACTACAACTCCCAGTAAGCACAGAGAAGCTGCATTTCAGTGTATGCACTGATTAATATTACGACATTACATTTATATCCCACCTCCTTTCCTCCAGTGAGAAATCCAAGGCAGCTGACATAGTCCATGGTCCTCCATTCCATTTCCCTCTTATTACAGCCTTGTGAGGTCAGTCACAGTGAGCTTTATGGCTGAGCGGGGACTAGAACCCAGATCTGCTCGGTCCCCAGTCCAGCACATGCAGTGCCACACGACAATGACTCACACTGGGTTAGACTTCGGCTGGAGAAGCGAGTGCCACAGTCCTTCCCAAGCTGAGAACCCAAACCAAATCTACCCCACATGGTAGTTGTAGTGCAGAGAATGAGATGCCCCCACATACACTGCTCTGAGAGCACAGAAGGAAAAGTGGATACGAATGCTTAGTAAGAATAATCACAATTGCCTTTATCCAATTAAATGAATCCTGGAGAAGGTTGGAATGGGTGTTAGCCATTTAATGAACCACTCGCAAAGGCAGGGGGTCAGGGGTGAGTGGCTGATCCGTTCTCAGGCGCAAGAATGCTGCTCTTGCCGCTCAGCTGATCCCCCCACTCCAATCTGAAGGGCTTTCTCTTGAGCAGGACAAAGCTGGGCTAGGGAGGATGCACCCTGCCGAGCCCAGGCCCTGCTTCCTCGCTTCTGCTGGAGGGAAAGCGGCTCAGGCTGGAGCAGGCAAGGGGACAGATGGGCTGGGACTCACTAAGGCCGAGCATCCCTGCCTAGCCCAGGCTCTTCCTTCTCCATTCTCCCTAGCAAGAGTAAAGAAGCAGGCAAGCTTTCTCCTCGCACCTCACTCCTGCTTGGGAGACCCTGCTCTGGTGGTTGATGCAACACAAAAATCCATCATGGCTGGAAGAAACCCCAGAACGGACCGCTATGCTTTATCATGGCTGATACCACAGTCAGTTATCACGGTCAATCTGGACAACCCAACAAGCAACTGCGGTTTTTAACAATGGTTTCCACTGTCACCTCCAAAGATAGGGATCCTTTTTGCCCACAAGAGTGTCTCTGAGACTGCACTTCCGATCTACATCTTCATAATAGTATTTGCCATAAAAATGATAAATTTGCTTTCAAATCTGTTGCCTGGTTAAGCTAGGGCACCATTTCAGTCACTTCAAATACTTTATACACTGATTCCAATTAACTGACTTAGAGCACAATCCTGAGCCCCCAAACATTCCTGGGGGAGGGATGGGCACCGGAGAGGTTGGAGTCCCCACTGTGGCCTTGGAGAAACACTCTGAGGTTGGAGAGTCCTCCCTCTGCCCTTGCAGCTGGCACAGTTCATTCTTTGCTGGCTGGGCTCCAAAGGTGGAATATTGTCTTTGGAGGTGGAGCAGGGAGTGGTATTAGGGGAAAAGCAAGGCACTGCCATCGTCTGAGGAGGGTGAAACAGCCCTTAAGCATGAGAATTCACTAGCCAGGCTTCTTTTAGGCGCGAAGGGTTGCAGCTAGCAAGAAGGACTGGAGAAGGCAGTCTTGGCTCATCTTACCACGTGTATCAAGGCGAGCAGCAGAACCCGACTCAGATCTATTTACTCTTCATCTATTAAACCTTCTCTGCCCTAGAAGGAGCATCTCAGAAAAGGGGGAGAGGTAGAAAAAGGAATCGGGAAAGAAATAAAATGAAACAGAACAGAACAAAACATGGGCGTGTTCTGGCAACCATAGAACAGAAGAATAACGACAAGCAATTTTTGAAAGGAGAAGGTTTTTGCAAAGACTCACAAAAAACGAAATGGAAAAGATAAGATCTAAGCACCACCTTACCTCTTCCCTCGCCCTCATGGGCTTACATGCAAGCACCACAAAGATGACTCCAAAAATAATTCCTAGGCCCAGGATAATAAAGGGAACACTGGTGACCATGGAGCTTTCAAAAATAGCATTCTTCAGTTTCTCCACAGATGCTTTATCCAGCAGGAAACTCTGAAGGAGCAAGGCAGGGTGCAGGGTAGGAAGGAAACACAGGTTCATTCGCTATTCCGATAAAATATAACTTGTGTTACTCCAAGATGCTGCAATTCCATGTCTTCCCTTCTTAATATTTGTTGCAGTTAAGACAGAGGTGGAGGAAGTGACAGGAACACTCAGGAGGGTTGTCAAGCGAAAGCCTTCATATATTGCCCATAGCTGCACACAAGAGTTTGTACTACAAAGCTTCGATCTTGCATTAAATCAAGAAATTCTGATTTCCTCCAACTCAGTCTTTCCCCAGAACATACTCGTGTTCAGAAAGCCAGTCACTTCAAGAGATAATGTGGCTGCAGCAGGGGAGCAACCTTAGTATTTTCTTCCTATGAATTATTCCACTCACAATTTATAATATATGTATATATAATATGGGTATTTTACTGTATACAGTTGGCCAAAATACTTCTGAAAATTCTTAATATTGAGGAAGTGTTCTTGTAATATCCAGTTTCATAGCATTTTTAAATATATGTGAATTATATAAATCCTGGAGAATACTGTTCAGAATCCAAATGAACACACAATTTTATTTTATATTGTGTGTCTTATATTATTATTATTATTCTATATGTATATTTTAATTTATGTGGTTTTATTTATTGTTGTAAGCCGCCCCGAGGCTTTGGCGAATGGGGCGGCATAAAAATGTTTAAATAAATAAATAAATAAATAAATAAATAAATAAATAAATAAATAAATAAAATGCTGATACACCAGGACCGATGCTTGATTGGAAGCTGCTATGTTGAATATGCTGTACATACCTTGGAGTGGATTGATGCTTGAGTGATGCCTTCGATTAGGGATGTGTGCGGAATCTATGCAGAAGTGAGAATCCATCGGATTCCCTGGGCTTGGCTCTGGGACACTGGTCCACTTTGCAGCTGCCCGGAGTCCGAGTTCTTGCTGCCATGTAGAGGCTGCTGAGCCCCACAGGCTGTGCAAGCAGCACCGCTCTTGCGCACCAGGAGCAGCTGCTGGTTGCGAGGGGCTTGCATGGAAGCAGCTGCTCCACAACCACCGAGCAAGCTGCATCCTGTTCTGCACACGGCAGCTGCCTTTCGGGCAGATGTGGGGGAAGCCGGTCGGTTGTGCCACTGGGCATCTGCAGGCATTTGTGGACTTCCTCTCAGCTCGGCTTGCTTTGGAGGACCAGGCCAAGCACAAGAGGAGGCCCATGAATTCCGGTGGGGTTTCTGCCAACCTGACCTTCAATACGACGAACGTGCTTGGAAGAGACTTAAGAATCCAGATGCATTTGAGCACATTGCAAATTTCTCAGCACCCCTAGAATCTACCTTCACACTGCAGAGCCAAAGGGATCCACCATCTCCATCAGCCATCAGTAAGGAGACCAAGGATCATCCTGGAGGCTCCCTGACTCTTGAGGAGAACTTCACAGCGAGGGGAAGGCCAGGCAGGCCCCGACCATCGGCCAGAGGTTCCAATGCGTGGCCTCCCTCTTTTGTCCCCACCCCCCCTTTTCTGCATTGTGTCCACTAGGTTGTGAGCCTCAAGACAGGGATCGTTTTAACTTTAAATTGCTGCACACTGTTTGGAACCTGTCAGATGTTTTATAAGCTGCTCTTGCGATTGTTATTACTAGTAATACATGGTAACTGTTATTATTTATTTATTTTATTAGAGATCTGTTTCTTTCTCCAGTCATTCTAAATGTGTATCTATTAGTAATGGAAGTGTTTTACAAACACTTACCTCATTTATATACATCACAGGGTAAAACATCGTCTTGATGTTGCCTGTTTGGCTGCAAGAGGATGCAAAATAAATTAAAAGAACTGATCTTTTGCAGGGATTTCACTTGAGAGATGAACAGCAAATATGTTTGTTTATTTATTTACTATATTTTTGTAGGACAGTCTAGTTGCATTGTTCTCTGGGCCTCTCCCAGAAAATGAAAATAAAAATACAGACTCATCCATAACAGCAGAAACATTTCCAGCAAGCAGAAAATTACAACAGATGGTTCAAAAATACACCCTCAAATACAGTATTCAGGCAGTGGTGCAGAAGACCAAAATCCCATTTTTGTCGTAAGCACAGAATACCTGGGAGAATATTTTAAAAATGTTGCCTGTTGCCAAAAGAGGGCGCCAAGTGAGCATGTCTGTGGAGCCTCCTCTGGCAAGGCCCTGTCCCTGGCAGCTCTCTGTTTCATTTCACTTGGCAGGGCCCACCCCTAGAAAAGGGCCCCCGACATTTGGGAAGGCATGTATGGGAGAAGCCAACCTTTGCAGGCACCTGCTCCTGGGTGCAACTAGTATTTTCAGCTGGATCCAGAGCCAGGACCCAGTACAGGAAGCAGATTAATCACTGCCATGATATGCCATCAAGGGCTTTTCACAGAATCATCATCTTTTTGGTGACTGCATGAGAACCCACCCTCAAAAGCTGAGTCTGGGTTGTCCTTGGACTATGGGTTGTTGCCGAAACCTGGCTTATTACTTTTGTCTGGACCCAGCTGTGCTAACAAGCCATGGTCTGCTAACCAAAACAAGCCATAAAAAGAGCACATGGTTTGTTGTTGGGCTGTGAACTGTGGGTGTTATCTCAGCAAGGTTCAGACAACACAATAACCCATGTTTCAACAACAGCCACCTACAGTTCGACAGCAACAACCCACATGCAACTTGTACTCAGGCTGCCTCCGTGCTTCTCTTGCCCTGCAAAACTTGGACATCGGATCTTCGAGTGTGAGGTGTAGGGTTGGGATGACCCCTTTTGGAAACCATCCCTCCAGAATCTGAGGACTGAGTACCTCCACCTCCCACCCCCCACAGAAGGGAGGGTTGCAGGGATCCTCCCTGGATGGTACTGCCCAGGTGCAACTTCATGCAGGTTTAACTAGGAAAAAGGCAAGCAATTCCCAGCCTTCCCCTGCTAGCATGAAATCAGTGGTGCTTAATTCTGAGTAGACATGCACAGAGAGATGCACACTGGATAAGCTGCAAACTAACTTTCCTGTTCAAACAGCTTTTAATTTACTTTACATTTACACTATTTTATTTCCCCCTTTTTATCTATTTATTATTTATTAACCACTCCTTGTTAAAAGGAAATAACAATTAGAATATAAATAGCCACAGAATACTTACATAAAATCTGGAAGTTTCCTGACATAAACATTGATCTGCATGCGCTTGGCTGCCCGTAACAGCACGCCTGTCATCTGCAGAGAAAAGGACATTTAAGTTTTTAAAACTGTTTACTGGCATACATTTCTTTTAGCACTAGCTGTCTTACAAATTCACTACGGATTTACTCTTGGGAGGATAAGAAACTCAAACTGGAAGACTAGGGGAGAGACGCAGGCTGTGTGGACTCAACAAAGGTGATCAACAAAGATGACAAAGAACAGAGGAATGCAAAAAGGAAAAACAGCAGCAAAGCAGGCCGTTCTTATTCTTTGTCATAAGCCCCAATGACAGCAGTCAAAGGAGCGGAGCAGTCTGTCCAGCAAGAATGCAGCATGGGGTTGTAGACTTGTTTTCTTGTATCCCTTTCTCAACTTCTGGTTTGCAAGAAGCATGGTTGGCCAGGATGCCTACATCTGGCCAACTCTGTTTTTCCCGAGCCAACATCTGCCTCCCCACAGAATGAGAAATCGTGGCTTGAAAGGGAGCTTGAACTCTGGTTTCGAGGCAAACAGCGGTTTAATGAGTTCAAGACGGGTGGCCACATTAGTCTGTTGCTGCAGAAGCAAAGAGCACTGTGACGAATAAAGACTTATAATCTTATTCTGGCAAAAGCTTTTGGGAACAGGGGCTCCCCAGCAGCCACAGTTTGCAAAGTCAGTACTACTGTGAACAAGTGGGAAAGGTGTGTGTGACGAGGGGAGGCGGTGGCAGAAGGGGGCCAAGGTACGGAGGAGCTCAGCAGAGGAAATTCCTGACAGCCACATCGTAACCACCGAATGGAATGTCTGTGAAATAAACAGCTCCGAGGAACAGAAACACAGAGTCGTATACGTACTGGGTTAATGTCCAGGAACAGCTCATGATCCTTCTTATTTGGATGCATGCCGTCAATGTCCTTGACATACGCCTCATCGGACTGGTAGAAGTGTGGCGGGGATAAAAATATGGGTGCACCTGCATCGAAGGAGACGAGACACGCAAGGGGATGGGAAGGGAAGAGGGGCATGAATTGAGCGGGCTTTCTGCTTAAATGGAACAAGAAAGGTCTCGTGTCACCACCGTAATTCAGAAGTACCTCCCACACATAAAACCAGAAGTTAGTTTCATCCCATGAACACAATGTCTTGCAATCTAAGTGTAATTGATCAACTGATTAAACAGTTCGATGACTAATTAAATCTGTAATGAAGTGCCTGATCCTGCCTAATCTTGGAAGCTAAGCAGGGTCAGGCCTGGGCAGAAGTGGGATGGGTGACTTGAGTGTATGATTCTATGATTATTGCTGTCAACTGCCTAGAGAGCTTTGGCTATGGGCAGTATAAAAATGTAATAATAATAATAATAATAAATAATGGATAATTTTTGTACAGCATATCATCTCCTTAACAGCCCATAAAACAGGTGTGTCATTATCCCCATATTTGAAAATGTGGGGGGAAACCCGAAACCTGAGGCCTAAGCCTAAGTCTAACCCAAGGAGTTCAAGGCAAAGGAGTTCAGTTACATGCAAAGTTTGCAGTTTTCTGGGAACAAAGAAACAACGCAAAAAAAGGGCGGTGATCCTGTGGTGGTCCCTCCAAAGTACTATCTGGGCATCCATGGAGGGGCAATCACTGGTGAGGAAAGACAGGGGCAGCTTGGTCAAGGCTGTGGAAACCGGCAGGGGTTCTGCCGCTCTATCTAAGATGCCCTGTGGCCGATTCCAGCAACCCACCATAAAATTGCTCTCGTGGGCTCAACTGACACAACAACTCATTGTGCATGATAACCACTGAATAAGCCATGAGCTGCCGGGGTTGCTTGTTCTCCAAAAGCAAGCAGCTCTGTGGACACCAGCCCATGGTTGGACAAGGCGGTGACCCATTGCGGAGAGGGGCCCATGAGGGGTCCTCAGATTGCGCAGCTCCAGCCCCGAGTTTGCAATTAGCATTTTGCCACCTTCTCTCACCTGGCACGTTCCAAGCGTGTTGGATGCCCTGGGTATAATCCAACATGTCGGAGTGCGGGGCACGTTGGGGCAGGGTAGCATCGGGTATGCTAGCAGCCCTGCCCCCCGGGAAACCCCTTGACATTCCACCCAACAAGTCTGAATAGCAATGGCACACAGACAGGCCTTCTTGGTGGCCACGCCATCATTCTGCAACTCTCTTCCCCCAGAAATGAGCCGGAGGCAAAGTCAGCGGATCCTCCGGAAGCGACCTCAACCCCCAGCATTTGGGGAAGCATTTTGCAAGAGGTCGGTACTCCAGGAACACCGGGCTTTGTTCATCTGATCTGAAATGCTGCCGCCCTTAACTAACCCTTGGCGGCAATGTGCATCGGGGTCCAAACGTCAACGAACCCCTAAGGTGATGCTGGAAGTTGTTCTTTCTGGCGCATCATGTTGGCTGGGTGCTTGTAAAGTCTTTACATGCCACGAGCTGCTTTGCAGTCACGTACCTTGCTTGCAGACACTGACGTTCAGGACCCCTGCGCCAAAGCAGTTTCCTGCTGGCACACAAAACCCAGCATTGTCTGGATTAACAGAGGCATTGGCAAAGATCTTCTTGGGAGGCACAAACCGGTAGGCTGAGATCCCCTCGACCATCACATAACTATCGAAGGTTAAGTACAAAGACCTGGAAGGGGCAGAAAGAACGCTTGGTCGGCCATCATGGGGTTTTATTCAAGCACAATGACTGCATGAGAACCAACCCTCAAAAGCTGAGTGTGGGTTGTCCTTGGACTATGGGTTGTTGCCAAAACCTGGCTGATTACTTTTGTCTGGACCCAGCTGTGCTAACAAGCCATGGTCTGCTAACCAAAACAAGCCATAAAAAGAGCACATGGTCTTTGTTGGACTGTGAACTGTGGGCTGTTCACCACGATCTGTTATCTCAGCTGGGTTCAGGCAACACAATACCCCATGTTCAACCCCTATCTACAGTTCAAGAGCAACAACCCACATGCAACCCATACTCAGTCCTCCAGTATGGGTCCTTGTGTTGTCTGATATTCACTTACATGCACACTTGAGGGTCAGAGTATTAGTAGCTAAGGGTATCGGATTAAGATTGAGGAAACCCAGGTTCAAATCCCCATTCAGCCATGGAGTTCACTAATGGCCTTGGGCCAGACATTATCTTTCAGCCTAGCCTACCTTACCTTCCCTGTTTTCTCATAACTATCTCACGCTTGGATCTCTCATTACTATCACCCCGCTGCTCCTCCTCAGAACTGTCTGAGTTTTCCATGTTGGCTTTCTCCTCCCTTTTCCCTTCTCCTTGGCTTTTCATGCTTTATTTGCCTTCCCCTTCTTCAGCTGTATCAGAATCTATTCTTACACCTCCTCAGGGCTCCTTTGCAAAACAAGTGGACTTAATCTTCCCATAAGGGATACCTACACTTATTGACTGATTCAGAAGAAGGGAATCCTAATGGATTTCATTTCTGAAATAGGTTAAAAAAAGTTACAAAGATGCTGTGGGCAAAAACTACCCCTGGGTTTCCCTTCTGCCTCAGCTGTTTGACTTAAAAATAGATTTAGCATTTCGAATAGGATTTGTAGAATTAGAATCAAACTGAAGATATGAATTCAGTTCCATTCAAAGGTCTGAATAGAACTGAAAGACCTGAGACTGTTCTGCAACTGTCTGGAAATCGTAAGCTCATCTCTTGACCAACTCCCTTGCATCAGAGCTAGTGACTCATGCGGAGAGGAGGTGATGGTGCAGGCCACGCACTGTATGGGTTCCTGGCTGAACAGATGCCGGCTCTGAGACTGAGTGGGCAATTTGTCCATGATGTACAGGATCTCCAGAGAGATCTACCAATAAGATGATTCAACAGAAAAGGAATCCCTGTTCCAGGAAACATTGGTTTGGTGCCAGATAGAAAAATGTGCTAGCAAAGACAAGCAACAGTGGAAGTCCGTCATGCCTCACCATGGCAATTATAGAGTTCACACAAAGATTATAATGGGTTTGATTGCTCATTGGCTTTGTAGGATTTGTAGAATTAGAATCAAACTGAAGATTTGAATTCAGGATGGGTCAAAAAGTATGGTTCAGATTTTTGAATAAGGGGAGCAAAACAAAAGGGATCCTTAAAGCTACCTGGAGGAATTGGTCTCATGCTTTAATTGTCCTGACCTGGAAAACAGGTAAGGCTAATTCAGGACTGGGTTGTCTCGTCTGGGTCTTTAATAGACTAATTGAAAGGTATCCTTGCAGATTAGCCAGGCCAAGTGTTGGCCTAACTATTCAGAACAGATCTGCCACTTGCTTCAGTCTGTACAAAAAAGCAGAGAGTGGGCGCATTCGAAGCTACTCTACAGGTTTTGACAGTGCACTACGAAATGTTGCATCTGGTCAGGGAACATCTTGGGCTTGTAACAAGTGATTTCGTAAGCCTTCCTAGGGCACCCCCTTCTCTCTTAATTTGGCTTATCCATACTACAGCATTACCACACAGCCGTACACCTTTTCCCATTAACGAACATGCCCCAAACGGCAGCCTCTGTGAAGTCCACAGGAGGGAATGGACTGTACAAAAGGGAACTGAGATGATGATGATGATGATGATGATGATGATTATCATAGCATTTTATTATGATGCATGATTCTGTCCTGAACCGTCCCAGCAAATGGCAAATAAAAGTGGTTAATCTTGTGGTGGCAACTCTTCAAGTGGGGAAAAATAACAAGAGGGAGGCATAGCCAGATCCTTTATATTAAGTAGCTCTTGTCCCAATGCATGAGAAGTTTATACAGGCAGTCCCTGAGTTATGAACATCCAAGTTACAAGCAACCCATGCTTACAAATGCACTGTAATAAAGTAACTTTTAAAAATTACTGTGGAAAATCGTCATTACCATAGAGAGAGAGGAAGCGAAAGGGGAGAGAGGGAGGACTCCAAAGCTTGCCTTCCTGCCCTTCTCATCCAGAGAGGGAAATCTCTCTGGCATTTCCTTGGTGCAAAGAGAAGGAACTAAAGAGTTTGGGAGAGGAGGGTGGAGCGATAGTCAGTTTTTCCACTTTCACAAGGGCCCGGTGTCCCTAGCGCCTGTAATTGTGAAGGGCTGAGTAGACAGAATCCAACTTACACACAAATTCAACTTAAAGACAAATTTCTGTTTTCTCAGGAACGGAACTCATTAGTAACCCAGGGACTGCCTGTAGAGGTGTTTGGGTAAAAGAAAAGACTTGGCCCACTGCAGAATTTTCTTCAAAGACAAAGCTCAGTTGTCCAAAACACAACATTAGCACCAATTATGAAGGATGCAACCTGCACAACAACACAGGATATACCTTCAAAGAGACAGCAAAGAAGATGAGTCTAGCCCAAGGGTCGGCAACCTTTAACACTCAAAGAGCCATTTGGATCCGTTTCCCCCACAAAAAATAAAACACCGGGAGCCGCAAAACCCTTTTGACATCTAAAATGAAGATAACACTGCATATAATGTTTTTTACCTTAATACTATGTATATCTTCATTATGATTTAGCTGCAGCTCTTGTTCAGTCACTAAAAACTGTTATTTTTAATCTTACATTGTAAACTAGTAGGACTCCTTTCATATATTTTGAATAGGAGAACAACTTCCTGAAGAGTCAAAGTCAGTGCTAAAGGGCTGCATGCATTAAACAGCAAACCCCATAAGTTCATCAGCAGTAAAAGCAAATGAATCTACCCACATATCATTAAATGTTTGGTTTTCTTCAGAAACTTTTCTTTGATTTATCCATGGTTGGCCTACGGGGGGGTGGGGGGGGGAAGAGCTCAGTAAATCGGCAAGGGTCCGCAGATCGGGGGCTGTGCCGGAGGAGATATAGGTGCGTTTAGTGACTGATCAGCAGATAAACAGTCAAGTGCTGTGAATTGTGACAGGTCCCAAGCACAGCTTTTAACATTCAGATGAAGGAGATTACATTGAGACAAAGAGAATCCTTTCAGCAGGATTTCATGTAACATGAGAGCCTGCAGGAAGCTTGTTTAGCAGAGGAGTGTAGCTATTTCCTTAACTAGCTGATTTACTTAACTAGCCAGCATTCCTGAGTGGAGCTTTGAGCAGATCAGCGGCTGTGCCGGCATGATGGAGCCGCAGCAGAGGCGTTCAAGAGCCACATGCGGCTCCGGAGCCGTGGGTTGCCGACCCCTGGCCTAGGCAGTCCGACACAATGCATGGAACACTGCAAACGCATTCCTCAGTGGTACATGCTGCTGCGTGGACTGATGCTTTCCAAAATGCAAGGAGAAGTGCCTGACTCACCTGCAGAAATCTGAGGAAAAGACGTAGATTTTCTCATCTTTGTCAATCAGGGGGTGGAAAGTAGACCCATCTGTTCCATTGATCATGTTACACGTTGGTGATGTCCACCAGTGCAGTGAGCTGCCAGGAAAGGAGTTGAGGGAGAGGAGAAAGAGTAAGCATTTCTGAGGGAGTAGAAAACACCTACTTCCTGTGGCCTCATAGGAAACTGATTAGAGTCAATTTTCCCAAGGGATCACTCTCTTCCCCGTTCCCATCACAGTTCCAAGTTGTGTCCAGATGGACTTGAGGACAAAAGACACATGACATTTAATATGCAGCCTGCTGCTCTGTCTCTGACGGTTCATTAGCTAATTAGAGGCACTGAAGTTTGCACAGACTGGGAAGAAGGTTACTGTTTCCCATCCCAGCAGCAACCCCCATCAAACATCTCTCCATGAGGCTGTTGAGGACATGGGAGGAGACCCCCACAGGTACCAATTAGGCACCTTTGAAACAGGAGGGGTTTTCCAAACCTGAAGCCTGTCTTAGGAAATGCAGACTCTGACACAATCTTAACACAGAAAAGAAAAAAAGAGCATTACTCATCCCCTTTCCATTCAACAATCCTTGTGAAGTCCAAGTAGTTCTTTGTCCCGCTGAGAACGACGTACTCGCCATCGTCGGTCCCATTATCCTAGGAAAGGAAACACAAAGAGAAGAGAGTTGGCTTCCTCGGTGCTTTGCACGTGGCTCCTGCAGTTGATGGAATGAAGTGGGAGACACGACCCTCGGGATGCTTCAGCTTGTTACTCCGCCAGCTCACAAAGAGGAGCGCCCCGTTGTTGTTCCAAGGGCGTTGGCAGGAGGGAAGCTGAAAAACCTGACAAACAGGACAGCCAACCCCACCTGGCCTGCTGTCAAATGCTAGGGTCAGCCGAACGCAGGGCGGAAAGCAAAAGCCTGAAGTGCCACCAAAGTGAAACACTGCTTGCCCAAGAAGGGCTTTTACAGACAGCAAACAGATCTCGATCTAATGCTGAAGCAACTCACACCTGGCTCTTACGAGACTAGCTAGGCTAGGCGTCCTCCTAATCCTGCAGGCAGCAACAGGGTGAAGCAAAATCAGGGTGGGGAGGAAGCCGTGCTGCACTCCGTATAGTTGAACGGTGAAGTACGAGCCGTGCAAATGACCGGTGCAGTTGTGGGTTATGACACTGTATGGACCCAGGGGAAAGAACCTGGGTTGGGTGGACCATGGATCTAAGTCAACAGGAGGCAGCTCTTCTGTTTCCTGCTCATTAGACCATGAAGGCAAGACCGACCCAAAGCTTACCTTTTTAAAATATCCAAATTCTGGGTCAATGCTCTGATTGAATCTGTGCATCGCACTGAGAAATTTGTCCGTGTAACCCCACAAGAGCTGATGTACTGAGTGCATCGTGAACATGTCTTCTTGGTATAAGAGCAGCAAAAGTTCTGTAGGTAAGTGCATGACAGTCGCGGTAGTGAGGTCCATCGCAGTCTGATAAAAAGAAGAAAATAAATTAGAACATTCTAGTATAAATTCTAAACATCCTCAACATGAAATATTGACTCTAGGTTGTCTATCATCATTGGAAGTGCCTCTTCAAGCTACGGAGGCGTTTTTGACTGACAATGGCAGAGACACAGTGAAGGTGTGTGCTTTAACATTTTCCCACTCACACACACAGCCCAGGTTCCCCAATAATGGCAGACTGAATCCATGACTTCAACGGCATCAGCATGCCAAGATTTTATGGTCTAAACAAGGGGCGGGCAACTTCTTTGTGACCAAGGGCTGCATGTGGGAATGAGCAGAGCCTGGTTTAGCACTGGGCACAGCTGGGGTAGCATAAACCCGTTCCCTTCAGCCCCATTCACACACTCCTGGCCAGGACCGGTAGGGGTCCAGGGGCCTCCAAGAGCTGCCTGCAGCCACCCGTGCTAAAACAGGTTTCAAAAACAACCGAAATAAGGAAAGGTGAAAAACAGTGGCAATGCAAGATCTGAAAAGCACTGACCCATTTTTAAAAAGCGAACCAATAAAAAGACTGGAATAAGAATGGAGTCTTTACACGGCACCAACGAGACCACAGCTGAGGCACCTGCTGAGCCTCTCTGGAGATGATATTCCACAACAAGGTGCCAACACTGAGGAGTCCTTGAGCCACAGCAAAAAAAACAAGAACCCTTTTTAATTATAGAATTTCTGTATTTCCTTTCTATGTGTAGAAGATACTATCAGCCAAAACAGCACTGCATTCAGTGCTTTCCTCATGGAAAGAGTGCAGGCATCCAGATGTTAGGAGCAAATTTCCAAAGCTGTGTTGTCAGAGCACTGCGAAGAGAGGGAAGGACTGCAACCAAAGGTGATCACTGCTAACCACGTACACAGTCAGCCACCTGGAGGTGGCACCTTCATCTCAATGTCTCCAGGCACCATGCTGCACCACATGGTTTCCATCGAAGTTGGCAGAAAGCAGCTGCTCCAATCAGTTTGGGGAAGGCCGGGTTTGTGTGGCAGCTGACCAAACAAGCCATGGAGTCCATGGCTCATGTGTTCCTCTTCTCCTGCTCCCTCCTCGCATCTCAAATGGCTTTGCAGGGCTGCAGTCCTAGCATGCTGCGGGGGGGGGGGGGGGGATCATTCCTTCCCACTGACCCTGAGCTTGGCAAAGCAACCTATGGTCCTTTGCTCACGCGTAACCCCAACCAACAGTCCCCAATTGAAGAACAAACTGTGGATTCCCTTTAGGTATCTTTGTGGTTAACAAACCATTGCAGGTTGTGCAGCAGAGCTGTCCAAAATTCAGCAACCCACGAGGGGCCTAAACCAGAGGTTTTCAACCACCAGGCCACGGACAGGCACTGGTCTGTGGGAGATTTCCCGCTGGTCCGTGCAGGGGCCGCATCCTGCTGGCCACAGACCGGCACAGGGGCCGGCTGTGCTCCACCACCTCTTCCTCGGTTGGTGTCACATTCACAGGGAGGTGCACCGGGGCTGCTGGGCGGGGGGGCGGGGGAGGAGGGGAGAGATGGCTTGGTGGGAGCCACACTGTGCCAATTTCGGTATTTCGTTCTTTTCTTGGCTTTTTTTGGGCTCAGTTTCCAGTTGTTTTGGAGAATTTTCATTTTTTGGCATCGTGTTGGAAACTAATGCACAGAGTACTGTATTATGTGTACAGCGCTTCTTGTTTCTGCCTCAGCGGTCCCCGAGGTGGTTTTCCTGTTTTTGCCGGGCCCAGTTGTGGAAAGGTTGAAAACCACCAGCCTAAACCATGGTTTAGCCTTATGTGCGAACCAGGCTGTCTAAGGTGACACCATCTGAGCCCGCCTCTCAAGCCTGTGGAACAGACTGCCTTTCTGCTTGGCCTCTGCTGCAAGCTGGTGGAGAACTCACCACGGCAGGGACATTCACAGTTCTGATCAGATCAACTTCTGGGTCCCCCACAGACATCTCTGGTTTAAAGAAGTAAGTTTTGGGGTTCAAAGATGACACTTTTGTACCGTTGTCTAAAATGTGAATGTCGACTCGGGGTCTGTCCTCCCTGCGATGGGGGCAGGGGGAGGGGAGGGGAGGGGGGAGAGAGAGAGAAAGAGAGAGAGAGATTTTAACTTGTCAGAACAGTTTTGAAACCTTAGACAGATAAAACTACCATAAAATCCTTGTGAAAGGATTTGTCAGGCAGCCCATTACAGACCTTAAGACAGGGACTAGTGAGCGGGCGCGTCTGAGGGCCGTGAGACGGACACTTGGGGTGCTGTAGCAATGTTGCCCACTGGGGCAGGCTCTGGAAATTAAGACATTCTGGCACCAGGTGGGGGTTACGGCCCTCTTGGCTCAGCTTACCTGGAGCTGAGAGGAGAGACTGAGGCACTCACACACGTCATGTGGCAACCACACAAATCTCTCCGAGCATCTGGAACGGCCTTACAGGCCCCAAGCAGCACACGCCCGATTCCTTCCTTTTGCCTCTCAACCCCCTTTGCAGTTTAAGGCTTCCTCGCCCAGCAGACCTGCAGCCTGTAAAGTATGGAGGCCACTGAGCTCACGTGGCCAAGGAAGCTTCAGTTACTATTATTATTACACTGCATTCATAGCCTGCCTTATCGCATAAATCATGTCTGATGGGGGATCAGCACAGCAGCTTCTCCTGCTTACAGCTTCGTTTCAGTTATTACATTCTGTACTGCCTGACAGCCAAAAAGCTCTGGATTCCTTACAAAGCATAGTGTAACCTAATATAAAAGCATATAATAAAAGCAATAATTGGAAAAGATACGGCAATATAATACATTCTCAAGAGGTAACAATTTTAACCGCTCAGCGCTAACAATAAACAGTATGTCCTAGGCCATGTTAAAAGTCCTGTCCTGGACTGTCACATTCCTTGGAGAAGAGGGAAGTCTCTGCCTTGGACTGAAAAGACTACAAGGTTGGTGTTAGGTGGGCCTCACAGGGGAGAGTGTTATTTATTTATTTATTTAAGCATTTCTATGGCGCCCCTTGCCGAAGCCTCGGGGCGGCTCACAACACAAAATAAAATACAATAAAATACAAAAATAACAATATAAAATTAACAATATAAAATAAATAACAATATAATACGATCAAGGGGCCACCACAGAGAAGACTCTCCTTTGCTGCACCCTCTCAGCCTTCCCTGCAGAAAGGCCTCAGATATTGATTGATACGTACAAGTGGATTTATACTGCAAGAGATACTCTGTTAGGTGTCACACTTTATGAGCATCTACCAGCAGTTCCATTAATCACAGCAGGGCACTTCAAACGTGCACATACGCACCCTTCTCAATAGCACAAGCAAATACACACCTGCATATGTGCATTCCCCCTGTACTACAGAAATGCACAAAGCCCGCTGCTTTCTTTCATCATTTTTAGCAAGAAAGCCAATACATAAATAAATCTATTTTCAAAACAAAGTTCTTTTCAGTGTTACATCTGTGCAGTATATATATTTAAATACAGAGTAAACTGGCATGAATTGCCACATTTCCTTTCTCAACAGGTAATCCATGCCTTTGACAAACTCTTACAAAAAAATCTATCCCAGGAATTATGCTGCAGTAGTCAAACCAGAAATGAGTTTCCAATCCTAGGCTGAGATATTTTATTACAACTATGCATTTCTTTTTGAGACAGAAATCAAATGAAGATACAATCTCATGTGTGTTTAGGCATAAAGAAGTCCTACATTTCCCAGAATTCCCCAGGCCATACAGCTGACTGTAAGACACTTTTTTCTGCCTACATATACGTAAGATTTGCCCTCAGTCTTCCATTCAGCAAAGCAGAAACCCCCTTTCTTTCTGCTGTAATTATTCAACCTCAGTCCAATAGATTTTTAGCAAATGGTCTGGGGGTGAAGCTACTGTGCACAATCTTATGGTCATTTCCTACGTGCATAAATATCTAGTTAAAATTCTGTGCAACCTTATAGGTAGAATAAACTAATCACAAGTGCAGGAAGAGGCTTCGGCAAGGGGCGGCATAGAAATGTTTTAATAAATAATAAATAAATAAGATGTACTGAATAGAAAAAATGTATCATTATGAGAACTTCATTTTTAAAAAGCATGCAAAGTTTCACCCCCTTAAGGTTTCCAAGTACAGCAGCACTGCTGGTGAAACATCAGATGCCAATTTCTGTGTGTGGGTTTCCATGTAGATGGGTGGAAGGCATTGCTGAGTATGGTTTTTAGTTATCAACCCACTTTGGTTCTGCAGACTGATCTTTCGTCATCTGCATAACTGGCAGAAGCACTTACACAAATCCAAGCAGATACATGGAAAACCTACTTTATGGAACACATACAGTTGAAAAACAGACTCTTCTTGGCAAAGAATACAGTTCTCTTTCATTTTCCTTTTAAATTGGCACATATGCAGAGTCCTGGCTACAGCCATAAAATCGGCTTGAAAAGCAAGGAAACCTGAGTATCTCACATTCTCTTTCCCTTCAAATTGGATGCACTGGGAGCTAATCATGTCTGGGTAAGCCAGAATGAGGAAGCAGGCAGGAACCCATAAAGGTTTTGAAATATCCAGCTAGGATTGCTGTGCTTAAAGGAGCAACAGGGGCGGGCTGGAAGACCTTGTCCTGGAACCTAATTCCATAAAACAAGCAGCTTGCCTGTGTGTGTGTGTGCGCGCAGGTGTGTGTACAAGCTGAACTGCTGCACCATCTGCAAAATCACACTTGGAATTCTGCAAGAAAGTCTTCAAATATATTTCAAGTGTGTAGCACTGCTAGGCAATCCCAGAAAAATCCTGGTAGGGCAGTTCAAGGCCCAAAGGCCAAGGCAGCGTTTTGCCGGCGCTTCACAGGTAGCTTAAGTTTGCACAAGCTAGGGTGAGAACTGGAGATGAACCCTCTCTGGTTCCTCAACCAAACTTCTTACAAAAGGTCTGCTTCCCTGTGAGAGCAGACTGTTTTCCTGCTTTGCCACCTTGTTGTCCCGGAAGAGGGGTTGGCTAGTATTTCCCAAAAAGCCTTCAGAGCAGAGGAAGTGGGAAAACTAGAAGATAGCAACTGAGTACCTTGTTCTTTCTTCCTGCTTTGGAAAGAGGAATTGACATGTTGCTTGCCCAAAGACCCCCTGGGCTTTGTGGGAAGCAGTTAGACCAGAGATAAGGGGAGTGAGGATTTTTCCTATTTTTGATCTATACTCTACATGGATATTCTAACTTCGTAATCAATGCACTCTATGTTCTTCTTTCACACAAGTGGTTCTGCTTCATCTTGAAAATCCCCCGTCTGAATCCCTGAGCGATTCAGCCCCCATGTACGGGTAGTATCATGAGGTCAGGGCCAATGTTGGCTAATCGAGAGGCCCATCTAGGTCAATGTTGGCTAATCTGATTGGCAACAGTTCTCCACTTTCCTAGCCATGCCATCCAAAGTTCTTTGAACTGGAGATGAAAAGGGTCGTAACCCAGGACCTCCCACAACACAGGTTAGAAAGCGAGTTGGCAGCAATTCCCTGTTCTCTGGGCCACAGTGAAAGAACCAATGTGCTACATATTTGCTGGGTCCCTTGTATTTATTTATGCACAAATAAACAAACAGATATTAGATTTCTAGCCTGCCTTTTTCCTTACAATGAACTCAAAGCAACTTGCATCACTGTCCTCTCCTGCTCTCAAGCCTATCCCCACTACAACAACCTTGTGAGGTAGGCTGGGCTGAGAGCCTGGCCCAGAGTCACCCAGTGGGCTCCAAGGCTGAGCAGGATCACCTGCATCCCAGTCCTGCGCTCTTACCCACCACACCACACCACACCAGCTCCCCTGCTACTCTCGGCACTGGCTGAAACTCACAGGGTGTATAAAACTGGATCCAACCTGAGAAGCTCCCGAACGGGGCCCACCACAGGACCTGGCACGCATGCAAATGACTGACAGTGTGATGCAGAAGCCCCCCGAGATGCCACCAGGTATTTCTTACACCGTGACTATGAGAGCATCCAGGTTATTGTGCTGTCCAAACACAACTGTGCTAATGAACCATAGCCCGATAACCACAAACAACCTATGAAGAGAACCCATGGTTTGTTGTTGGGTTGTGAACTGTGAGAGACTGACCATGATTTGCTATCTTGGCTAGCTTCAGGCAACACAACAACCCACATTTCCACAACAACCCACTCTTCAGTATGACCTGAACCAAGCCACAGTCAATCCCATAACCATTTGGACTAGAAACTTGCCTTGCACGCATCCTTATTCATTAACCTTTATTTTATGCCTTATTCCCCAGCTCCTTCCCCCACTTCTCGGAGCAAACAATGAGTCATCCTGGCCTCCTTGCACACCCCAGGAGCCTCCTTTTGGGATCCCAGCCGCCACCTCCCCGAGTATCCCATGCCCTGTTGCATGGTGAATTTGGAACACACAGCATTACCTGTAAGTGTATGGTCCAACTTCCCTTACCAAAGGAGGTTCGCCTTGAAGCACTTCTAGCGGATTCGTCAAATTAAAAAAGTAGAACTGCATATAGACTGGAGGCGGAGGATCCTTCCAGTCCTCAAAAAGCTCTGTGCCATTTTTTAACACTGCAGCCTAAAAAACAAACAGCAAAAACAGGAGTCATATACTTCTTGCAGAGACATGGAATTAAAAGTTGTACATCGGGAGAGAGACAATTAACATGTGCAACGGAACCAAGAAGTTTTTCTTGGAATCTGTCATATTAGGCAAGGGTCAGGGAAGAGACACTTCCGAAGTGTACACCAACAACTAGCATGAAGAAGAGGGGTTCCCTTCAAACCCTCACCCTGATATGCTGAAGGAAGGGTTGTTTTGCTCGAGGTTTGGGTGCCTATGAGGGAGCACTACACCTGTATCGCTTCTACAGCCGCGTTAATTTTTTCAGGTCAAATAAGAAAGACCCTAAGGCACCTCAAAAACTGGGAAATGTATTATGGAATGCAGTGGATGAAGTCTGTTTCGTCAAATTTGTTGTAGATCACATGCTGAATATGAGTCAACAGTGTGATGTTTGCCTGCAAAAAGGGCAAATGCTATTTTAGGCTCTGTTAACAGAACTATCACTTCCAAATCACATGAAGTACTAGTTCCCCCTTACTCAGCACTGGTCAGACCTCATCTGGAGTCTTGTACCCCAGTTCTGGACATCACCATTTAAGAAGCTGCAGACAAACTGCAAGGGATCCGAGGAGGGCAACAAGGAGGATCCAGGAACTGAAAACAAAGCCCTGTGAGGAGACATGGAAAGAACTGGGCAAGTTTAGCCTGGGGAAGAGAAAACTGAGGGGAGATATGAGCGCCCTCTACAAGTACTTGAAAGGCTGTCACAAGGAGGAAGGACAGAATCTCTTCTTGATCATTCCAGAGTGCAGAGCATGGAAAAATGGGCTCAGGTTGCAGAAATCCAGGTTCCGGCTGAACATCAGGAATAACTTCCTGACTGTCAGAGCAGTACGGCAAAGGAAACCATGGTGTAGGAAGCTTGTGGGCTCCCCCACACTGGAGGCACTCACAATGCAACTGGACGACCATCTGAGAGGCTGGTCTGAATTAGACTCCTGCAATGAGCAGGGGTTGGACCCAACGGCCCTCTGGCCCTTCCCAACTCTAATGTTCTGTGAGTCTTTGAAATGTATAAAACGATTCTGTGAAAGGTGACATAAAATGTAAATAAACATAGAGGAACCCTGGCCCTCTTTTTTCACCTTCGTACAATTCAGTGGGAAAGCTTGGGTTACAAGAGTAACGGGTCCTAGCCCACGGTCAGGATCCAGCAGGACTAGAATTGCACATCTTTGGCTGCAGTCTGCAGCCTCTACTGGAAAGTGGAAGCGTTCTCAACCCATGCAAGCAGGCCAGTGGCCCATGCCAGACAGTTAACGGCTATCTCAGTGGCTCCGTGTGATGGAGAGGTTTTTGGTTCTGGTTCCAACTCCTTGGCACAGCTTGCGGCTCCTAGCTCACCTCTGGAAGCTAGGCACAGCTCAGCCACCTTTGAAACCTGTGGGTGCGCAGAAATTTGAACCCACGTCTTGCTGGATCCAAGTCTGACAGTTTTATTCTGCATCACACATCTTAGAGCAGGAGGGAGCAAGGATGCAAAATCTCCTTCAGCTCAAGGGCCACACTCTGTTTCAGAGATGCTTTCCCATCATTCCAGGGATGGGCAGGCCTGAAGGCAAAAGGCTAAGACCAGAAAAAAAACAAACAATATCAGGATGGTTCAGCTTAAAGCTTTTGCTGCCAGAAACTGAACTTTAAGAGAGGCATTTCACAACCATTTACAATGGGAAAAAAATGCACATGGACTAGGAAGGGCTTGGGGAAAGGGGTCCCCTTTTTGGAGGGCCAGATGAAATCCCCAGGCCTGTTCCTGTACCCCAGTTCTGAGAGGCATCTGATAAAGTGGACTTCAGTTCACAAAAGCTTCTGCCAGAATGAATGCGCTGGTCTTTAGAACACCACAAGGCTCCTTTGTTTTTGCTGTAGTTGACTAACATAGCTGCGCTCTAGAAATTCAGAAAAACAAAGGCTTCTTTCCCAATAAAATGGAAGAGAAAACAGCAATTCCCTGCAGAAGCAGCAAACGTCTGTGGAAAGAAAGTGAAACTGGCACACTTCTGCAGGTAGCATCCGACACAAACACAAGGAATGCCTTAGATTCGCTGCTTGGTCCTCCACACAGTGAAAGCACACAATTCTAAGATAAAGAATATGGGTGTAAGGATCCACACTATAGATATGCCTTGCCATAAGAGGGGTGTGTCTGGTTGCTCAGATTTATCACCTTCCATCTGTATAAAACGAACCTTAATAGAAGAGCACTTCCCTTTCAAAGCAACTCACAAAGATGCCTGAACCTGAGCAGAAATCTAATGCAGCTACTGCCTTGTAAAGATACTTGTGGAAAGACCCTTTAATTTGCTTCCAGGAGTTTGCAATATTTATGATAAAAATCTGTAAGGATGGAAGCAAGGAGGTTCAGGTACACAGTCCAATGTATAGGGATAGATGAGAAATGAATGTTGACCTGCATAGGAATGCAAACTTGCCAAATTTGTATTTCCCAAACCTACACATATGCCAAAATACAGTTTTATGATGGAATTCATCTGTTACAGAATTTGTTGATGCAGTTTGCAATTTAAAACATGCACCTCTTTTGGAAATGTCAGAACTGAAACATATATACTATAGAAAAATATACACAAAAGCCTGTATGTTACATAAAATGTGAAGAAAAGCACCTTATTTTATGTGGAAATTGCTTGCAAAAATGCCTATCTTTAGAAAAGTATGTTCTGAGAAATGTGTACAAAAATGTGTTGCTTTTGAGAAATGCACATAAAAGTATTGTGTCAAGATTTTTTTTCTGAAAATTGCAATACGTATACAAAAATGGGGCAGAACAAGCTTAACAATAAAACTGGGAAAGTGAGTAAATTCCTGCTTGACACATTTGTCCATGGCTATACATGTTTACTCAGGTTACTTCCAGAATAGGAAGCAAACGTGTCTAAATGGTTTCCAAATAGGACTTTCTATGCCAAACAGGGGTTGTGGAGGGGCGGGTGTTCTAGGTAATACTACTGGGGCTGCTGTGAAAACCCTGCTCACCTGGGGGATGCAGAAACGACTCGGACAATTTGCACAACAGCTCTGCAGCACTCCTTCTGTTGCATAGTTTATACCTCTCTTGCTAGAGCCAAGAGCAATGAAGCAACTAGGAAAAGGGCTTGGTGCGGGTGGCGCAAAACTGGTTGATACAATCTGGTGTGTGCCTAGTCAGGTATATTCAGGTGGAGTGAGGGATAAACAAACATCTTGATGCCTCATTTAAATCCTCCACCAGTTGCTGGGTGGAGCTTTAGCTGTTGCCTGGAGTCTATCAGATGCGGCCCCAGTGACGCCCTAGAGCTATCTGAGTCACACTGTAACATTTACAACAGCTCTCTTGCTCTTGCTGGGACTTAGACTCCAGTGGTACAGCAGCTAAATCATGCGAGGGACCCAGAGAGCAAGATGGTCGAGTTTCCTTGGGCGAGTTTCAGTTGATATGCTCAGGGGCACTGGCAAAGTGCTTGGACAGGGCCACTTCTGTGCTGGACTCTTGCTCCTCTTGGCTTATGAAAACTAGCAGGGAGGGAACAGTTGGCTGCACCGGTGTGGTGACTATCTGCTTAGGGGAGGGAGTGTCCTGTGCCACGTGGAAGCACTGGTGGTGAAATCCTTTGCAAAGAACGAGCCCAGAAGTTCACGGCGAATTTAGGCTTGGGGCAAACCATCCTTTCCTAGGCAAGGTTCCCAGGTAGGTGGTGGCCAAACAGCTTCAGCATTTTTGGATGAAAATAACTGAGCCAGAGTTCAGACTGGGTTTTGGCATGGAAGCCGCTTTCATGGTTCCGTGTTGGAAGAGAGGTGAGACCATGACCCTGTTCTCCTGGAAAGCAGAAACCCTCAATATTGCAGCCATGCCCTGCTTTGGGACAGCGCAGCACAGCGGTTCTATTCCCTCTTGGATGGATGGCAGTGCTGGAGGCAGTGCTTGAGAATCTTGCTCAGCTTCATGGATTCTCTGGCTTGGGTTCTCCAGCAGTCAGGGTCATCCAGAACTTCAGAGTACTTTCCACAGCATGCAGATGGCACAGAGCCCCGGTTCTCCTTTCCGTCTTCATCAGGTGAGGCCATGAATATGTTAAATCAGTGCCCAGCTGCAGCAACAGACTAGATGAAGGCCAACAAGCTGAAACTCAATCCAGATGAGGCTGGGATGCTGTTAGTGGTGGTCCTTCTGACCGGAAGGAGTGTGCTTAACCTGTTCTGCACTCCCCTTGAAGAGGACGGTTCATAGCTTGGGGCTCCTGCTGGCACCAAGTGCCTTCTACCAGCTGTGGTGGATGGCTCAATTAGACCCCAATCTGTACAGAGACAACTTGGTTTCATTTATCTATCTGCTGGCAACTCCTAAGTTAGATTATCAGAATAGGGCTACATGGAGCTGCCCTTGGTGGCTGTTCCGAAGAAGTAGATTGTGAAAACATGGCAGCTTGCACTGGTTCTATATATGCATCCAAGCTCAAGTCAAGGTGCTGGTTTAAGCTTTTAGCCTTATACAGCTTGAGACTTTGATACTATTGAAAAATGCCACAGAGACTTTGGGCAAGGGAGGGCAAAGATACTTCCGCTTCTCTTTCTGCAAGCCATTTTGCTTCCCAAAGGCTGCCTGTCAACATAGTTCTATCCATATTTTATGATTACCCCTAGTGTCCACTTCTGAACTGTAAGCTACTCATAGGTTCTGGAGCACAAGCGATCACTGCAAGTGCTTGAAGACAGTGCTGAGGAGTTTCAGAGCCTTTGAGCATGTCCGGTGTGCCAGCAGGACTGATGGCTGGGGTGCAGCCATGCTGCTGTATATATCACGATGCAAGGCACATGCTGAATGTGTGCCACTGGTTCACCAATCCTCTCCACACGTGGCCGACATGTGGGCGTTGCAGCTGGCTCAGGTCCCGACTAGGAAGTGTTTGTGGTGTTTCCATGGTGCAAGAATGCTGCTCTTACTGGATTTTTTAAGCTGCACAACTATCGCGCCCCTTCTTGGAAACAGTCATGATGTGCTGAGCAGAAGTCAGATTTGCAAGATCTGGTTCTAAGGTCCACCAAGTGGAGCCAATGCAACCTGTCACAGAAACTACTCTTCAAGAATTAAGAAACGGGATGCCCCTGAGTAGATGCTGAGTTCTAGGACTCTCTGATCAGTATCAGAACCAAGCTCTTGCTTCTTTCCACACAAAGAGCTCCTCCTGGTTTTCTCTGCAAGTGTTCTTTTTTTAACAACCCAGTTCTGCAACTCTTTTTATTGCAAAGACCACCGGGAATCAGCAATCCTTGCTCCTCTACAGCAAATCACCCAGAAATCCATGAGTAGATCCCAATCTACCTCTTGTCCTCCACTGGAAAATGTCGTCCATTCAGCTGGCATAATTAGAGCCTAGGACGATACTGCTTAATCATCCAGAAGAAAAGGCCGATGTAAACAATGGATTCTAAGTCAGCTTTCCCACTGACACGTCTCCATGAATTACTCGACTGCTTGGCAGCAGTGCTCAGTTCACACATCTGTTCTCCTCCAAGGTTGGAGCTCTGTCCCCACTCTTGATGGAGGAGATCCAGTGCCCCTGCAAGGTTTCCTAGGGGTTACAGGACTGGTCTTTTGAAGCTCTTCTCTCCCTCCCTCTTTTTTCTTTCCTAAGACAGAGGTTTTCCATTTCCCCTCCCTGCTCCTTTTGTCTCGTGCTTATAAGATAATGAAAGAAAGACTTTCTTTCTTTTCCTTCTATTTTTGCACAGCACCCAGCCACTGTTGGGCAGTTTTGTAAATGATGGATTATTCTGATGATGGTGATGTGTCCAGGGCAGAACTGAAGCTGGAGCTGGATTCATCCCTCCACGGTTCATGCTCTTAACCTGAACCCCAACACTACAACAGAACTGCTCTAGACTATACCAGAAATACGTGAACAGAGTGCCTCTGAACATGTATCAGGTGCCTTTTCCTTGCTATCAAGTAACAGAGATGGTATTTAGCCTCCTACTTCACACACAGAAGTCCAATTCCTTGATAGAGACTATGAATAACCCATCCCAGACCAAACACCAGGGACGAAAACTTTCAACATGACCTGGCACTGTGTTAAAAACAGCACTGTTTGATGGACCGAGTTCACATATTTCCGTGGCAGTCATCAAGTATTGCATAATGGTGATAACCAAGTCAAGAGCGTGTTGCAAAACCAAGTATTACAGAGCTGAGTTTCTGCCTGGATTCCAGATTTGTCCCACATGTAGCACGTCCCGTCTTAAGAAGAGGGAGCTGCTATTCTGACCTGGACATTCCCAGTTACATTCTCACGTTTCGTGTTCAGGGCTGGGGTCACCCACAGGCACTGCAGGGGACCCACACACATCAGGGCTGCACTGACAGGAGTCCCCTGCCCCGGCTCCTCCCCTCCCCCACTGCAACCTGCTTGCTCACCTGCCTCCCACGCTGGTTCAGACCATGCGGCTCATGGGCGGTGGTGCAGGAATTGCCACTGCCTCCTTTCTCCCTGCCTGGCAAGCGCAAGCGGTGGCTAAGTGGAGAATGAGGAGGAGAATGGGCAGCATGTGGCAGTGGGTCGGCTCCCAGGGGGCACCCACGGAGGGTTTCCTGCCAAAAGGCCTTCCAAAATAGCGCTGGAGAAGGAAACAGAATGTAGCTACACAAATGGGCACGAACGCGCCCCTTGGGCTAGCTTGCTTCTTTCTCTTTCTTTTCCTCTTCTGCAGGAAACTTTTCCATGTTGGCAGTTCCCTGCTTGTGATCCACGCGAGAGCGCACGTGCAGCACAATCCTAGCACAGGTTTAATCAAAATCTATGTCCACTACGTTTCGTTGGGCGTATTCCCGTGCAGGCGCGCAGTCGGCACCGCCGCCTGCGCCCGAGGACAGCAAAGCAAACAGCGGAATTGCTTGGCCGGGGGGCGCGCCGTGTTACCTTCAAGGGGGGGTGCTGCAGAGATAAAATCTCCGGGACAAGAGCGGGAGAGGAGTCGGGGTTGTCCCCCTCCCAGCCCCGGCGTCTTCCCTACAGCATGGCGCAATTCCAAGAAGGCTCTGGACAGCTCGGGAGGGAGCCCTCGGGCGCTCCCGCATCGCCGCCCCCCCCCCCGACGGGAACGGGCGCGCGCGCGCCGGAGAGGCGCTCTCACCTGTTTGACTTGCGAATCCACGACTTTCTGCAGGACGTGCGCCACAAGCAGGGAAATGCTGGCGATGAGGAAGGTCATGGACAGCACGCCCAGCGCGCCCATGCAGAGTCTCCTCATGGCTGCGAGCGGGCGGGCAGCCGGCGGCTAGGCCGGGGCTCGGGCGCGCGCTGCCGGGGCCGCCGGGGAGATCTGCCTTGGAAGCCGCGCCGCGCCGCGCGCCCTCCTGCTGCAGTCGCCGCCTCCTCGCACCGACGCCGCCTGCAGGGCCGCGCCGGGCCGCGCCGGGCACCGCCGCCTCCCCGCTGCGAGGGGCGGAGGAAGGCGGCGCCTTTGTTCGGGTCGCGCGGCGCGGCTTCCGAGGCGGAGGACTCCCGTGCGCGGCCGCTCTGACGCGCGATGAGCTCAGCGCCTGGCGGGCGTTCGGCGGGGCGGGCGGAGCCGCTTCTTGCCGGCCCGAGCCGCCCCTGCGAGGGTTGCGACGGCCCCGCGCGGCCCTCCTCCCTGCGCGTGGAAACGGCTCGCTCGGCTTCCTGGCAAAAGTGGGCACCTGTGCGTTTGTGCACATTCAGAAAAGGTCGCGAGGTTTCTCTTTTAAAACATCGGAAAGGAAGAGAAACGGAAAAAGGAAAATTGGACCGTTTAGTTGAACTGTGGGTGGACCGAGGGTCGTGCATTTCATATGTCCCTCTCTTTATTTTATTTGCAAAAAGAAAGCAAACGGAGGGGGGTTGCAGATTTTAAAACTTTTTACAGATCAGTGTGCAAAGACTGCGGATTTCAAAGCCAGCATTGATTAAAAAGGAAATGAAATGGAGCTCGGGGTTTCGTGAGAACTGGTGTTTAGCCCTGTACCTTGTTTTGAAGGCTCTGGAATACATTTGGCGAGGAAGAACATGCCTCTGAACATGTGCGGATTGCCATTTGCTCAGCTCTGGGTAACTGCGGAAGCTATTTGGGATGAGAGGAAGGGGGTTTCAGGATTAGAAAACGTGACTCTGGAGAAGATGAGAGAGGGAGGCGCTTTTTTGCGCTGAACTATTTATTTATTATTTCATTCTATTTCTGTGCCACCCCACAATCTGAAGATTCTCTGGGCGGCTTGCCAAAATAGTGTAAAACACATTGGATTCAATAAAACACTAATCAGATAAAATAGATAAAACAATAACATAATAGATAACAGCTCATGACAAAATATAGCGACACACACCATAATAAATACATCCAATAAATTAACCAAAATTAAAATAAGTAATAAGCCTTCCCACAAAAACAAAGCCAGCCAAAAAACCCTTCTTAAAAGTGTGGACATAACTGATGGTCTGTCCCAGGGCTGTTCTCAAATGCTACTCAGGTGCTCACCACCCCAAGTCTTCAAGCAGTACGTCGCTCAACCGGATTAGGGAAAAACTGCCCTGCAGCTCCAGTGATCTCCTGATCCTCTGTAATTCGCTTCATGCGTGCTGTACGTGCAGCCATGGAAGGATCTGTCATCTGGAGCACAACTCCAGCAGGGGCATGAGAAGAAGAATACCCAAAGAACCTGCCCCTGAGAACCATGGGAAAGATGTCATCAGAAGGATGCCGCCTTCTTCCCAAGCGGAATAGGATCACCTGATCAACAAGGTCTCACAGGCATTGGTCATTGGTCACACAGGTTTAGCCGGAAGGTGCCTCTGGGCCGCACCATTTAGTTTCCTGAAAAGTCACCCCCTTTCTACCTGATATTAAATCCAGTTCTCAAGCTGCAGGAGAACATAAAGCCATGCTGGATGAGACCCCAGGCCCACCCCTTCGTACACATGGTAACCAGTTGCCCACAGGATCCCCCAAACAGGATGGGTGCAAGACCTCCTCCTGCCCAGCTCCCCAGCAACTGGTGCATGCAGGCAGGCCACCTCTGGTGGAGGAGGAAGCCCATGGCCAGCAAGGCTAGCAGCCACGGATGGCCTCCTCCTTCATGAATCTGTCCAATCCATTTTTAAAGATTCGTGGTTATCGCCACTTCCTGTGGCAGTGAATTCCACATGCTGTGTGAAGAAATACTTCCTTTTATCTGTCCTAAACCTCCCACAAATCAACTTCATGGGATGATCCCAGGTTTTGAGAGTGATGGGAGAGGGAGAAATATGTCTCCCTCTCCACTTTCTCCACATCAAGCATTATTTTAAACACCTGCATCATGTCTCCCTCGCCTTTTTTCTAAGCTGAACAGTCCCAGTCGTTGTAGCCACTCCTCGATCACCTGTGTTGCCCTGCTCTGCACTTTTTCCAACTTAATGTCCTTTTTCAGGTAAGATGACCAGGAATGAACACAGTATTCCAAGCATGGTCACACCAAGGATTTGTACAAAGGAAGTAAGATTTTGGCAGTTCTATTTTTTATTCCTTGCCATGCATGGCTGTGAAAGTTGGACCATAAGGAAGGCTGAAGAATTGAGGCCTTTGAACTGCGGTGCTGGAGGAGACTCCTGCAAGTCCCTTGGGCTACAAAGAGATCAAACCAGTCAGTCTTAAGACGAGATCAACTCTTATGGCTCTTTAGAAGGCCAGATACTGAAGATGAAATTCAAATACTTTGGCCACCTACTGAGAAGGAACAAGTCACTGGAGAAGACCCTGATGCTTGGAATGCGCTCCCCAGGGAGGTTCACCTGCCACCTGTTGACAAACGTGTATAGTAAAGGCTGTGGTTTTCCCAGTTGCACTGTATGGCTGTGAAAGCTGGACCATAAGGAAGGCTGAGCACCAAAGAATTGAGGCCTTTGAATTGTGGTGCTGGAGGAGACGCCTGCGAGTCCCTTGGACCGCAAGATGATCAAACCGGTCAGTCCAAGAGGAGATCAGCCCTGCCTGCTCTTTAGAAGGCCAGATACTGAAGATGGAACTCAAATACTTTGGCCACCTAATGAGAAGGAAGGACTCCCTGGAGAAGGCCCTGATGCTGGGAATGATTGACGGCAAACGGAGAAGGGGACGGCAGAGAAGGAAGTGGCTGGATGGAGTCACTGGGACAGTGGGTGTGAGCTTGGGTGGACTCCGGGGGATGGTGGAGGACAGGAAGGCCTGGAGGAATGTTGTCCATGGGGTCATGATGGGTCGGGCGTGACTTTGCGACTAACAAGATTTTTTATTCCTTCCTAATGATGCATGTTATGGAGTTTCCTTCATCACAGCAGCTGAGCTCTGAGTCGACATTTTCATTGAGCTGTCTACCAGCACCCCAAGAACCTTGCTTGCTCAGTCACTGCTAATTCAGTGTTGGAAGTTGGGCTTGAAGTTGCACTTTTTCACCCCAATATGCATTTCGCTATGCTTGCTTATATTGACCGGCATTTGCCATTTTGATGCCCGTTCTCTCAGCTCGGAGAGATCCCTTTTCAGCTCCTCACAATCTCTTACGGTTTTAACCAGCCAAAATAGTTTGGTGTCATCAGCAAACCTGGCCACTTCACTGCTTACTCTCCACTCCAGATAATTTATGAATAGTTTGAAAAGCATTGATCCTAATACAAAGCCCTGCAGGACTTCACTGGTGACCTTGCTGCATGAGGGGAGAGTGCCATTTATTCCCCCTCTGTCTTCTGCTCTTTAACTAGGCACAGCTCCTCAGCCTTAAGGCCCAGGTAGGGTCCATGGTTTTGCAGGGTGAGCTACCAGAAAACAAACTTTTCCCAGTGAAAAGAACAGCTGAAATGAACAGTGTGATCCCTTCATGAGTAAGACCTATGTGGCATTTTGGTTCTCCTGGGAAAATTCTAAGTCACTGACGCCGCTTTCACCATGTCCTTGTAAGGGTCTGAAGGCCAAACTACAGGAGATGGGGAGGTTCATGGTTGCTTTTCTGGCTGTCAAAGAAAAAAAAATGCAGCTGCATGGGAAGCTGAATTTGGGACAGAAAATGTCAAAGGGGGGAGGCACTATGTAACCCCTTTCCCTTCCTGTCATTTTCCCACTCAAAATGAGCCCCCATCCACTTTTTCTCCTTTTCCCTTGGAAGGAAAGAGACAAGAACCCTTCTGCAGCAAAGCATTCTCAAGAATCAGGGTAAAATCTTTGCACCTGAATTTGGCAATTTTTGGCCCTCTGGTGTATTGACTGCAACTCCCATGTTACCTCACCATGGCTACATAGCTACTGCTGATGGGAATTGTAGGTCAATACATCTGGTAGACCACATGCTGCCTGCCTGCAATATTGTAGACAAACCTCTGCATACCTTTAGCCTCATTTTACGTGCTCCTGAGGGGCCACCTGGCTCCCTTCACCTGTCTCTCCACCGCTTGTGTCAATGCCTGCTACTGCTGCCCCTTGCTGGGAAAGAAATATGGAGATGCCCGTGCTGTACAGACCTTCCACTTCTGACGTTATTAAAAGAAAGAAGAAGTAATATTGTACTCTCAGCAGCAGCGAAATGGAAGCAGTGACTGGAGCCAACGTTAGTAAAAGGAACTGAGCTTCGGTCAACATGCTAGTGTGTGTGTGTTTCCAATGTCTTGCATGTACTAATATCTAGTGGGTGGCTTCAGACAACTCAGAAACCCACATTCAGGAGTGGGTGTAGACTGAGTGTTGGTTGCCGTGGTCACATTATGGGTTATCATGTCTGAACCCTGGTCCCCTAACCAAGAATGGTTTGTTAACCACAAGCAACCCACAGTTCACCGCCTGATAATAAACCATGGGTTTTCTCCATGGTTTCTCGTGATTCATGAACTATGAAACTTTACATGTTAGTGAAACTTGGTTCAGCTCATGGCTGGGTGCGTCCTTTCCCTGCTGCCATGGTGAGGATCGCACCCTTACTGACTGTTCTTAGTATATCACAACCATTGACTCAGAGCAAATGCTATGCGTGTCAAAACAGTCCCATTGCTCAGCATGCCCCAGCCAGGGAGCTGTATGATGCCTTTCTGTCTAAATTTGCAGAGTGAACCTTTTGCTTATCAGTTGATCTTAATACCAAGAAAAAACATTCCTTGTATTTATGATTGGAAAGGGCATGCTGGGAGTTGCTTTTGTGCATGAATAGGATTGCTCCCTAAATCATCTTTGCAGTAGATATGTATTGCAAGCATTTCGTACTTTCGTACATGCCTTTTATTAGACAGGTTCTTCTGATCTCAGGGAGGCTAATTACCCAGAGAAGGTGCAAATGGCTGCAGATTCCTTTCTGTTTCACAGATGGCTAGTTGATCGACAGAGAAATCTAGTG